CCGCGAACACACAGACTCCTGAACAAAATAAAATGGCTGCTGTTTTAAGGTACTAAGTTTTTAAATGGTTTGTTATGCAGCAGTGGATTCCTGAAACACTGAGAGGATCATGCTCCCCCTCATTCCACCAGAACAGTGCCAATGGGACTTCTTCCCATGACCAGTGGAAAGCTGCCTGTCTGAAACCACTACCTCTCATGCTATGGAGGAAGAGCAGAAAGAAAGGCCCAGAAACTTCTGATACATATACCCAAAAGCCATAATAAAGATGACGTATCAGTCAAGGTTTTAGTTGTAAGTAACAGACACTGACTCTGCATATTTAAGCTAAAAATAAAAAATGTTGAAATAGGCCGGGCACTGTGGCTCATGCCTATAAAACTAGTACTCTGGGAGGCCAAGGCAGGCGGATCGCTCCAGGTCAGGAGTTCGAAACCAGCCTGAGACATAGCAAGACCCCATCTCTACTAAAAATAGAAAGAAATTAATTGACCAACTAAAATATATATATCCAAAATAAATTAGCCGGGCATGGTGGCACGTGCCTGTAGTCCCACCTACTCTGGAGGCAGAGGCAGTAGGATCGCTTAAGCCCAGGAGACTGAGGTTGCTATGAGCTAGGCTGACACCAGGATACTCACTCTAGCCTGGGCAACTAAGTGAGACTGTTTCAAAAAAAAAATTACTGAACTAATGGTAATTCCAGTCCTACAGCCAGAATAACAGGCCAAAATCATTATCACAGAATTGGTCTGATGTATATGATTGCCATTCTGCAAGCACTAGATGATACAGTTTACCCTGGGAATACCATCAAAAACAGCAGTGGTGTCCAGACTTTTTGGCACCAGGGACCGGTTTCATGGAAGACAATTTTTTCCATAGACAGTGGGGTGGGGGGGTGGTAGAGGTGTGTGTGCTGGTTTCGCAATGATTCGAATGTATTACATTTATTGTGCAGTCAAACCTCTCTGCTAATAATAATCTGTATTTGCAGCAGCTCACCAGCATTACCATCACTGCTTGATATTCAAGACTTATTTTTAAGTCAGCAAGAGTTTTATTAAAGAAGGTCAAATTAAGATTTGATGCTAAAACAGTTTCTGGGCTTCTGAATACATGCTTATAATTAACATATATAGTAATTTGAACAGTTAATGGTACAGTTTTCACATTGGGGAGAGTCTGTAATTAACTCCGATGATACAAATTATATTCCTAACAATATGCTTATAGCCGTTAGTTAAAATTCACAGGATAATATTACTAACATCCTTATATCAGAATTAGCCTTCAGAAAAACTCGTTACACACTATTATACCAGTATCGATAAAAGGTGGTATTTGGGGGATGGGGTTTGTGTTTTATTTTAGAAAAATTAAGTTGTGATTTATTTATACAACTAAGGCTGACAGAATAAAAATTAGAGTCCAGTTCATTGTCAATTAGAAATGGTTGTGATATCAAGAGGAGGCTTTTAGAAATATTCAATTTGGGTTGCAAATTCTAACATGGCCCTCTTCTACAGGGACTAATGTCATAAAACCCAATAAAGTTTGTCTTTTTGGCTTTGGAGTCAACAGGTCAACAGCATAAATCTCAATGGAGAAAGTAAAACCAAAGCGTTTGTGGCTGAGGTTTATCCTCTGCGGCCTAAATTCACAAGACCTGCCGACACCCAGATCCTGCCTATTTTATTCTTCCTCCTCATTTATTCTGCCTGGAACGTGCTTGGGAAATTGCTCCATCATTCATTACATCTTCATGGGATTCTAGACTTACTCGACCGGTCCATGTCTTTTTTCTTAGAAACCGTCTCTTTTGCAGAATCTCTGTTTCTCTACTAGCATTGTTGGGCCGCAAGTGGGTTGGTTCACTTTTTTGGGTAAGAGGGAAAAATATTTCTTTTTTTGCATGTATGCACAGTAATTTGGGTCTTCCCTTCTTGGTTGGGTTACAGGGAGTCGTGCCTTGCTGCTGGCAGTGATGATCCTGGATGACGGTATGTGGCTGTTCTTGGCAAGCCCTGCATATCCACCATCATGACCCGCCGGGGGCTTGTGTCTCAAGTGCGGCATAGGTTCTGGGTAGTGGCGACACTAGTGTCTCTGAGTAGATTCACCTTTGCCTTTCGCATCTGTCCTATCGGGGACAGAACTATAAGTTCAATCACTACTTTTGTGAACTCCCTGCCCCTTCTTGAGCTGGCTTAGAGACACTTTAC